TGGCGAAGCAAAATTGAGGAAATCGGCACGATACCCAGCCCGTCGCAGGGTATTTTCCAGGTATACCCGGGGGTTTCCACGGTATACCCGCAAAATCCCCGGTATTTTGCCGATTTGGCTGATTTTGGGCCCCAACCAGCCTCAGACTCGGCTCAGAGCCCGGAAAATTTGATGGTTTCCCCGGGAAAACAGAGAGGGAAAAAGAGGGTGCTGTAGAGAAAAAAGGAAAGGAAAAGAGACGGGGTGCGAGAGAGAGGAAAAGCTTGTTCAGCCTAAATCGGCTTCTTACACAGCCCTTCCCTGCAGCGAGCCCCCCTCCAACCCACCCGCGCTAGGTCTCGGGGGACGCAGGGGTCACTCCCTCTGCCCAAAATTTCTCTTCGCCTGCGGCGCGCGCACTTGTCACTATCCAAGTCTGCGGTGTTCTGAGTGGAGTGCGAGTGGATGGAGGCGTGTGTGCGTCTCCCGTCATCCAGAGAGCCGACTCGGCGGCAGACTCTGGCATCGCCCTCGCGGACCGCAGCTTACCTCTTGCTTACCTAAAAATCCTTCGGGCCGGCTCTGGCTCTCTAGGTGTGAGTGTAGAGTTGGCTTGAGTGCCGGCCGGAGCTAAGAAACCACGGCGTCGGGTGGGTGAGGGCTGTGGAAAGGATTAGAAACGGCGGCGTGCCGCGGAATCCTGTTTTCTTAATGCCCGCAACCCACTGTACGGCCGAGAGCAAACATCTGAGAGAGAGATCAACAGACAATCAAACGCAGCGAACATGGGGTGGCCTTGCCGTTCTAAGGCCAGAAATTTCCAACTGTCTCATCAAGCGCACGTGTCCGTAACCGAAAGCGGAATTCATCACCGATCAAAAAAGCTTGCAATGCTGCCACTGCTCGCACTGGCCTCTTCGTTGGTGCTCCCGACGGTGCGCTCCCCGACGGCGCGCTCGCCGCTCGCGACATCGCGGGCGGCGTCGCCTTTGATGTCTGGCGAACCGACGTTCTACGCTGTGTATCACACGTTCAAGCCTCGGGCCGCCAAGGCGTGGTGGGCCAACATGAAGTCTCTCAATTTTAAGGATGTCGCCAAGGCGCAGCACGCGGCGGGCATCTTCGGCCACGCCTTCCTCCCCTCCGAGCCCGAGGGACCCATCCTCTGCCTGTGGGAGTGCAAAGAAAAGATGTCGCTGCAGGAGTTCGAAAATTTCATCGATGGCCCAAACAGCCCTACTGGGGGCGCGCTCATCAACAAGGCTTTCAGGGTCCTCCCCTCTGGGCTCACGCCCCCATCCGCGTGGCCAACGCTGCCCAAGACTCCCGCCAGGTCAACGGGCAGCTTTTTCTGGGTGCACCACTCCTTTGTGGACCAGAATGCGCACAAGTCCTTCTGGGAGTTCGCTGACCAGGCCAACTGGGCCGACCTCGCCGCTAAGAATCGCGCCAACGGCGTCCACAACCATTGCTTCCTCCCGACCGGCACCTCGCACAAGGCCCCGACCGGCACCCCACAGCGACCGCTCGCGCGTCGGCCGACGCCCGTCTCTTCATGCCACAGGACGATATATTCTGCATCTGGGAAGCCTCCCAACCCTTGAGCGCCGAAGAGTTCCAATCCTTCATCGACGGCCCCGACGGCCCGGCGCCGGGCGTGTTCATCAATCGGGTGTTCCCGGTGATTGAGGGTGGCATCACGCCATCGACCGCCTTCCCGGCCTCGGGGCTGAACGCAATCATGGCCAAGATTGAGGCATGCCCCACCCACCCCACGCCTCGCAGGAGCGGGCGCCATTCGGTGCGGCGCCTCTCACACGTCTCCTGTATGGTGTGGTATAGGAGCTGCTTCCGCTCAAACTGGACGAGATGGTCTCCAAGGCCAAGGGCGCCTTCAAAAAGGAGGCGTGAAGATCGCTGGCGCGGTGCCGGTGGCGCGGTAGGCCGGTAGCGGCGCGACGAGACTCGTGTGACAGTCTGGGGACACACCCCGTAAAAACCAAATTTCCACGAGAACGTACGCACTATCTCGTTGGACACTGTACTCAGTGCACACAACAAATGTACAATTAGCCGGTTAATTAATCAGCTTATCTCGTCGCGAAGGGCTGCACCCGCCGGGGGCCCGGGTGCGCAGGCGAGCTCGGGTCTGCGGAGCCGAGACACGGAGGCGTTGTGGGCGGCTTGACCATCTTGCCACCGCGCACGGCGGAGAGGGCGAGCGCGTAGACGAGTTTGCAGACGAGGGCGAAGAGGAGGATGTAGAGCATGCAGAGCGCGACGGTATTCTCCGAAGTGAAGCACGAGTAGTTTGCGGCGAAGCTGTCGAGGATCTCCTCCCCCGTCTCGCCGTAGCAGGACGTGGGCGGGGCATCCGGGCAGAAGAAGCCCTGCGAACACTCGCCCTCGCCGGTCGCGTTGAAGACACACCGCTCAGTCCCGCCGTAGGTATGGTCGCCCATCGCCCAGAGGATGTAGGTGGACCCCTGGATCTGCCAGCGCAGAGGAAGAGCGTACGCAAAGATGCGGATCGGCCAGATGATGTCCTCGGGCGGCATCATGAAGCCGTTCATGAGCAGGCCCAGGAACCACGCCTGGAGAGGGAGGAGGGAGGCGGTCCGAGGCGCGGGCGGGGTTGAGGAGGGAAGAAGGCGCCGTCCTCGCGCGGGGCGCCTGAATGAAGAAGAGCAGGCCTAGGACCGGCGACGAGGCGAGCGAGCAGACCTGCGCCAGGCAGTCGAAGGCGGCGAGCGTAAACGCAAAGATGACGCACTGCAGACCGAGGGTCTCCCACGGCCAGTCCGCGACCGCGTAGACGGGAACCAAGTTGGCAAAGGCGAGCACAAACATCATCGGCGCCTGGTCACAGGGGGGAGGGCGTGGAGCGACGCGGCCCGCCTCCGGGTGTGAAGCGCGCGACCGCCAATTGGCGCCTGCAGCAGCGTCTGCGCGGCGACGTACACGGCCGGGTGGTAGATGCCGTCCCGCAGCTCGCGCCGGAGGATCTGGAGGTCGAGAAACTGGGCGAGGAGGGGGAGCAGCCCGAGGGCGGGCGCGATGTTCGAGATCCACCACTGTTCACACGGATGGGGTGTGAAGAGACGCTGTTCACCGCCCCCGCTGCGGGGAGCGCGCCCATCGTCGGCGCCTCGAGGAACAGCCGAGGAAAGAGCTGCTCCTGCGAGTCGCGCCTCCGCGTGTCGATGTAGATGATCGAGAGGAAGAGCGAGATGACGACGAAGATGACGCACCGCGCGCTGTACATGATCGGGTCGCGCAGCAGGAGCCGGCCGTGCTTGTGCAGCAGCACGCCGAACTGCGTCGCCACGCCCGCGCCCGCCGGCTGCTGCTCGCTGCCGCAGTCGGCCTCCTCCGTCTGCGGCGGAGGCTGCTTCGAGCTCCACTGCGCGATTATCTCCTCGACCAGGCTCGCGTCGGTGAAGTCCGCGTTTGCGATCGACAGCATGTGGTCGGCCGGGTTGGTGTTGGCGGGGACGGGCTGGCCGATCGAGGCGAGGTAGCCGACCAGCTCGCTCGCCGGCCCGCAGTACGCCGCCCGCCCGCCCGACAGGATGAGCGTCTTGTCGAAGCCGGCAAAGACGGCCGACGAGGGCTGGTGGATCGTGCAGAGGATCGCGGCGTTGACGCGGCGCGCGACGCTCTTGAGCAGCGCCATGACGGCGGCGGCGCCGGCGGCGTCGAGTCCGGAGGTGGGCTCGTCGAGGAAGACGAGGAGCGGCTCCTTGGCCAGCGCCAGCGCCAGCGAGAGCCGCCGCCGCTGCCCGCCCGACAGGCCGCGCACCAGCGCGTTGCCGGCGCGCGTGTGCTGGCACGACTCGAGCCCGAGGGCGCCGAGCAGCTCGTCGACGGCGGCGGCGCGCTCGGCCGAGCGCAGCGCCGGCCGCGAGAGGCGCACCGCGTACTCGAGCTGCTCGCGCGCGGTGAGGAAGGCCCAGAGCGAGTCCTCCTGCTCGACCGACGCCGCGTGCGCCGTGTAGACCGTGCGCGTGAACGCGTGGCCGTTGAGAGTCACATTCCCGTACGGAGTGCCGGGTCCCTTTTCGAGCGCGAGCATGCGCAGCAGCGTCGTCTTGCCCGCGCCGCTCGGGCCCATCACGGCGAGGACCTCGCCCGACGAAACCGACGCAGAGACGTTGCGCAGAAGGTAGCGGTCCTTGGTTTTGACGCAGCAAGCGGGCGTGTTTCCCAGGCCCCGTCCATCCGATCGCACTTTCACGCGGTAGGAGCAGTTTTTGAACTCGAAGCGCACCGGTTTGGCAGGGGCGTCGACCACCATCCAACTTCGCGGTTGGACCTGAGCAATGTCCGAATCCCGAGCGATGTCCGAATCCGCTGTATTTGAATCATCCTTTTCTTTTTAACATCGGAACTCTATCGCTAACACGCGCGCACCACCGAGACTGTGGTGGGCGCGCTGCGGTCGCACGTCTACCTCCGTCATAGTGCCACGACGTGCGGCCTAGATTTAGCACACGCGCCTCTGCTTGCATACACTCATACATTGGATTGTCATCACCTGTGAGTGCGAGACAGGGCTAGCCGTAGGCAGCTAGCCTCTGAGGAGGGCGTCCATAGACACCTCACTAGACCCCACACACGGTCTCGTCCGTGCCCCGCCGGCCGGAGAGATTGCTGGAGGTAGAGCAAGCCTGCTCTAGCTTCGCATGTCACTTCCTGTTGTCTGTTGTTTGTTGTGCCCTTGTTTGTTCTCTTGGCACCTTGGAGTGCTGGGGGGGGGGGGGCGACAGGGAGGATGTGGCCTTGAGTTATGTGTACGCCTACTCAGGGTGTGTGGCAGCCCGCTGGCTGTGTCTTGTGGAGCATGTTTGTGTCTGTGTGTCGCTCGTGCGTGTCGTCATCTCATCTGTCTAGCGTCAACCCATACCGCGTTGGTGTCCAGTCCGAGCCTGGCTGTTCTTCACCTTTCTACCTACCTACCTACGAAGAGAGACGCCGAGAGTGGGCGACGGCTAGCAACACACCTTCTTTCCCGTGAAATCCCTGTGTGAAAGTGAACGGTGTTCTTTTACGGTCGCACGGCAGAAAAAATCGGGCAAGGCGGCCTCCAACTGGCCTCCAACCTGGTTGGGATCTCGGCGGCCGTATCTCGGTCAAACCACGTGTCCTCTGGGATCCCGGATCGCCTCTCTTCGCACAAGCTCAGAGAGCGATGTCTCCGCTTGGCCCCGAGGCATCCAGCACGAACGCAAAGCTCGGCGCCTCGTCGCCACTTCTTGGCTTCGATCTCTCCTCGTTTGTCGAGGCGGCACATAGCGCCCTTGAGGCTGACAAGGTGAAGGGCCAGGCCATGCCCAACCGTCGCCGCCGCGGAACCAGCATCCCAAACTCGCTGCTCGCATCGGTGAGGCAGGAGGTTCTTGTCGAGACGAAGGAGAAGAATGAGCAGGTCGCCCGCACCAAAGAGCTGCGGGCGTGGGGCAAGGGCGAGGCGTGGGTGCCATGTGAGGCGGTGCCAGAGGAGTGGCCCGACCCACCTCCGTATGAGGACATCGGCGTCTTCTCCCTCGAGTGAGTGGTGGGTCGGGCCTCTCCCTCGAGTTCGGATGCGCTGCGGCGCGCTGCGAAAGCGAGCGCGCCGACGGCGTCACCCTTTTTCCGTGCAACGCGGTTCTCTCTCTCCCCTTCGGAGAAGCAGTTGGTGTGCACGCGCTACTAGCGCGTGCCGGTTTATCGGGCAAAATTCTTTTTTACGCTCTTGTTGCCGCGACCAGCCAGGACCCTTTGAAATCATAAACTGCGACGTCCGTGAGGCCCCTACGGCCGGTGGCAGTGAGTGGGTGATTGGAGAGTAAACATAAACTACTATCACCCGCACCGCAACCAGCATGCAGCAACCAGCCAACCACGCTCCCCACACCCGGTGTTTGCGCGAAGAGAGGGGTCGAGCGGAGCGCGCGCGACCCCCACCTGTTCTCGGCCTCTCGCGAAGCGTCTCGATCGAGCCGCACAGGTCTCGACGGAGAGAATCGAGTGGGGGCGGCTCGGCGCGCCACTCCACAGCTGCACTGTCACAGCAAAGGCCAAAGCTCCTCGCGGAGTGCTGGGAAAACTACTGGGAAAATCATCAGAAAATTCTTTTATTTGGCGACCAGCGGCAGCTCCGGCCTGGCCGCCGACCCATACGACACTTTTACGCGCCTCGGCGCCACCCTCACTCACACACCCCCACCTCCGCTACCGCCGCCCTCGCCTCAACCTCCGCCGCCGCCGCCGCCACCCCCCTCCCCCTTACCCCCACCGCCGTCGCCCGAGACGCCACCGCCTCTGCGTGTTGTGTGTTGGGTGTCTCTTGTGCGCCTCGGTGTTGTGGGTGCGTGCCCCTATGCCACCACCGCCTGCGTTTCCTGCCTTCGAAATCGTGACCGCCCGGTGCAGCGAGCCTCGGCGGCTGTTTTACAAAACTCTCTCTGGTGTTTCTTAGCGTAGAAAGAACCCTGCACAAAGACCGCAGGGCGGGGACCTGTTCCTTTTTACCCATCTCCTAGTAGAGGTGTCCGTTTTATTTATTTATTTAGCGTAGCTATAGTGTATAGACGAAACTCTTCTCCACTGTATCAGAGACACTCGCTCAGGGACCGACATGGCGACATGCGACATCACTCTGGAGCCGCGAACAATCATGCGACATGCGCACACCATGGAACACACACCACAGCACGTGTAGAAGGGGCGACGCTCACCGCGCGGGCGGGCTGGCAGATGGCGGGGCGACCCACAACGCGGCCGCCTCCTGCCGGCGCTGCCCGGGCGGCATTTGCCAACTCACCATCTCACGCACACCGCAGGCAGTCTGCACCGCTCATGCCGCGTCTGATGTATGAACCGCGATCGTGCTGCTGGGCTGCTGCACCGGAAGGTACTGCAGGCTGAGGCGCGCGATGCGTGCGCGCGGTCCGAACACCATCGCGATCGGCGGGTTGATCGCCGTCACGAGGATCAACGGCAACCCGGTGTAATCGAACTGGACATCCGTGGGCACCGGGGCGTCGAGGGCGGCCTGGATCGTTTCGTCCGCGCTGCCAAGGAAAGCGAAGACGAACATCCCCGAGAAGAGAAGGACGAAGACGGCCGTCGCGAGCTCGGCTGACACGAAGACAGCGTTGCGCGCAGAGGAGCAGCACGCGCGCAGCCCGCCATCGGTAAAATGTAGAAACTCCAGCACGCTCGACAGCTTGAGCAGCCCGTAGCCGATCAACCCGAGGCCGAAGCCGGCCACGTGCAGCCGCATGTTCTCGACCCCGACGGGCTCGATGCCAATGCTCCACGTGAACATGGTAGCGAGCAACATCGCTGTGAGCAGCAGCAGGAGACGCAGTGCCTTCCACACGCCCGGCTCGTAGGTGACGCGATGCGCGGCGAGGATGACGGTGAGCATGAAGAAAAATATGCTCAGGTACGAGAGCGGGATGCACACCAGCCGCGCCGGCATGGTGTCCACGCCGATGCAGATATTGTAGACCCCGAAGACGCGTGCGATGCCGTTATCTTCCAAGCCGCCGCGATTGAAGACGGCTGTCACGATCCAGCCGACGGCATAGGTGGCGAAGAAGCAGACGTCAAAGGCCACAAGCGTGCGCCCGGACGAGACCAGCGGGAGCTCATCGGGCGTGAAAGTGCAGCCCCGGGCCGAGCACCAGCGCATGCGCTAAGCCCGCTTTAAACGGCGTGGTGTGAGGCAGACGCCGTTTAAAAAATGACTAGCGTTGCGCAGCGACAGGAGCGAGTTCGCTTGGGTTGTCTGTTTTCTTTCTTTCTTTCTTTAGGAGCGAGTTCGCGCTGCGCTAGGCTCAGACGGCGAGTTCGCGCTGCGCTAGGCTCAGACGGCGAGTTCGCGCTGCGCTAGGCTCAGTACGGCGAGTTCGCGCTGTGCGGCCTGGCTGCACCGCTCTAGCAAGAGACTCTAGGCTCTCCTCTTGCGAAGATTTTATCTCTCGGCTGCGTTGGCTCGCCAAAGAGTCTTGTTGAATGTTCTCGATGGCTGCTCGATGCCTTCGTCGATGGCGCTGACTTGGGAGTGTGTGTTTTCCGGTAGAGAAGGAAACACGCACGTCGTCCGGGTTCTGTCGAGCGTGCGGGCCGCCGGGCGGTTAGGGCGGAGGCCAGGGCGCCAGGCTTGCGAGAGGGCGAGAGCTAGTGCGAGAGTTAAAACACACGACACACACGACACGACAGGGACACAGACACATCCACACACACACACACACACACACACACACACACACACACACACACACACACACACACACACACACACACACACACACACACACACACACACACACACACACACACACACACACACACACACACACACACACACACACTGCGCTCCCCTCAGCTCCCGCGCGGGCAGGGAGACGCGAGCCCGACGGAGTCCGGTGGTGGGGGCCCACGCAGCCAGCCCCTGCGTTGCAAAGGTTGGTGCTGAGCCGCCGCCGCCGCTCGCTCTCGAAAAGCGTCGCGCTGCTGCCCGTTCCCGGAGCGACGAGCGCGAGTTTGGTGGCCAGGGCCTCGCCTGAAGGGGGGGCGGGGCAGGGGGGAGAAGTGAGGACGTCAGCGAGCGGGTGGGGCTGCCGGGAAGGTGGTGAGTGGGGGTGGATGCACCTCAAACACGAGCGAGTAGCGGGAGACCGTCGATACTCCGGCGGAAGAGTGCTCCCCCGCCGCCCCCTGGGTCACCCCGAGTGACCTCGCAGCCCACGCCGTGAGGCGCTGCTGTCAGGGGAATGTTGGGGGCGTGCAAAGCCGCTCGGAAGAGACGGCCAGGAGCCAAGGAGCGGCCGGAGCGCGGCGAAAGACCGACGGGAAGTGGCCGCCGCATGCAGCCTCCGCGGAGGCTGCATGCGGCGGCCGCATCCTGGCGCTGCGCGCGACCGGCCCCTCTCGGTGTGCTCTGCGGAACGGCCTCGCTCGAACGCGCGCCTGCCGGGTCGGGGCGGTCACGGGACCGGCTGAAATTGCGGCCGCAGCTGCTGGGGGGGGTGAGAATGGCCGGGCTTGAACGGCTTCTCGCGAGGTACCCGCATCCCGACGCAGCAGCGATTTGGCATTCTATATCTTTCGCGGCCTTCGCCAAGCGCAGGCGCGGCGGAGCGAGGGCGGTAAATTTCTTTTTACGCGCCTCCGCCCGCGCCGAGCCAAAGGAGCTCCGCGGA